ATGGTAAATAGTTTGAAATAGGCAGGACAATAGTTATTATAGTTGTGGTGCTAAAACAATTGGTAAATTGTCATGTTTAGGCACGACGATGGTTAAAATTATGAAGTTTTTATGGTAATGTTTATAAAATATATAAGTTTTGTAGACATGTTGATATATTTGTGACATCATATTTTCAAAGGATATACTGCCAAAAAATTGAAAGCTTCTTACATTGATTTCAATTTCTGTCATTACTTGGTTTTTGAATTAAGCAAATTTTTTAGTGACCCAAAATGTAATTCAATACCTCTTGCTTGGTTTTTGTTATTTATTGAGATAGCGATTGATTTATAAGTAGTTTATGTCATTTTGTTGTGTGATTAAAATAGATTGTGATTGAAAAATTTTATGAGTTTATTTCAATTTTTTAAGAATTTTATGTTTTGTCTATTACTTTTATAAGTATTCATATACTTGTTTGTGTAGAAAAAATGGTACTGTGATAATTGATACATAGTTGGATTTCAGCATACATATGACATGGTTTGATTATGATTATAAAATATATTAGTTTTGTAGACAGGTTGATATATTTGTGGTATCATACTTTCAGAGAATACTCTATCAAAAATTTGAAAGTTTCTTACATTGATTTCAATTTCTCTCAATAATATAAACCAAAAAAGAGCTTGGATTTTGAATTGGGCAAATTTTAGAATACCCCAAAATGTAATTCAATACCTCTTACTTGGTTTTTGTTTATTCATTGAGATATTGATTGATTTAGAAATAGTTTATATTATTTTGTTTTGTGATTAAAGTTGTTTGTGATTGACAAATTGATTTATTCCATTATTAAGAATCTTATGTTTTATGTGGGTCTCCGTTTAAAATAGATAACACAATTTGATTGAATTGATGCAATATAAGTTAAGGATTGCAATTGGTTTCACAATTTATTTGTTTAGTTAACATTTTTTAGATGGTGGGTTGTGTAATTAATATTTTATTGATTGTCTATATAGACTGATAATCTATTGGGATCATATTTTTAGGAGAAATTATGTCCAAATATTTGTAAAAGAACAAAATAAATTCTTTTAGATTAAATAACATAAATGGTACATTCAGGCTTTAATTATCCCTCTAATAACTGAAACGGAAGTATTTCGATCCTTTTTATTTCACTAAAGTTATGATATTAAAAATGTCCAAACGATTTTTAGCTTAATGCATGTCTATATCCAGTGTTTGATTATTTCGTGTTTAAGAACTATGTACAATGACTTCAGACACGAGATATAGGGCGAGTTTAGCCTTTCAGTTTAGTATGTGTTCGAGTTCGGTGCTTGATTATTTCACATCTAAATTCAATGTTCGATTTTTTTTAATTGCATCGTACTTTCAGGCACGGGTTATCCCTAGTAGTCAAATATGCCTGAAGATTTAATATAGACCTAAAGTTAAAATTGAAAGTTGTTAAATTAGACTCGTAAACTAAAACTTTAAGATGTAAAGGCTATTGAATATAAGTGGGTATTTATATGAAAGAAAAAATAAAAAAAAAATATGCAACATATAATATATTTAATGGCTCAAGGGTTCCTGCAGAGCCCATGATTGATTACGAAAAAATATACCCAGTAGTAATTGATGTAATTATATTTCGGTATAATATTAGTTTAGCAGTCTTAGAATGACTTGACATGCGTCTTATGGACGTTGTCATTACATATTTGTATGAAAAGTTAGATACTGATATTTATATGAAAGTCTGTGAAGGATTGTAATTGTCTGAACCAAATACATCAAAACCACAAAACATGTAATTAAATAAACTGTGACGATCCTTATATGGATTGAAACAATCTGGAAGAATGTAGTATAGCCGGCTCAATGAGTACTTGGTAAAATAAGGGTATGTTAACAATCGCATAAGCCTATGTGTATTTATTAAAAAATCAAAATCTGCATTTGCTATCATTACAGTATATGTTGATGATATGAATCTAATTAGAACTCCTGAAGAGTTGATAAAGCTGTTGAATATTTGAAAAAAGAATTTGAGATGAAAGATCTTGAAAAAAATAAAATACTGTCTCAGCCTATAGATCGAGTATACATTAAATGAAATTCTTATTTATTAAACAACTTATACTGAAAATGTCGTAAAGTGGATTAGTAAGGACAAAACATATCTATTAATTACTCCATGATCGTTCGATCTCTTGAGGTCAATAAGGACCATTTTCATCCTAAAGAGGAAAATAAAATATTTCTTGGTCATGAAGTATCAAACCTGCATGCAATTGGTGTTTTATTATACTTAGTACAATGTATTAGGTCTGAGATAACATTTGCAGTTAACTTGTTGACAAGATATAGTTCTGCACCAACTCAACGACATTAAAATTGAATAAAACATGTCCGACGTTATCTTCGTCGAATTATAGATTTGAGCTTGTCATACTCAAAACAATCAGTCAATTTCAATTATGTAGATTTTAGATATCTATCAAATTCCCACAAAGTTCGTTCACAAACTGGATATATTTTTACATCTGGTGACACAACGATTTTATGACGATCTACTAAGCAGACTTTAATTGTTACATCTTCTAACCATTTTTGAGATTCTTGCATTCCATGAAGTGAGTCGTGAATGTGTGTGGCTAAGGTTTGTNTTACATCTTCTAACCATTTTTGAGATTCTTGCATTCCATGAAGTGAGTCGTGAATGTGTGTGGCTAAGGTTTGTAGTTCATCGCATTTGAGATATTTGCAAGCTCCTTTGGATTATAGATTCACCAACAACTGTATACAAAAATATTGATGCTTGCATTGCACAAATTGAAGGAGAGTTTATTAAAGGTGATAAAACAAAGCATATTTCGTCAAAGTTTTTCTGCAGTCATGAACTCCATTAGAGCCATCAAATTAAAGTAAAACAGATATGGTCTAGTGACAATCTTGCAGATCTATTCACTAAAACTTTACTATTGTCAATGTCCAAGAAATTGGTATGACATTGGAATGCATTGAGTTTGTGGCCAATCCAATTAATTTCTTATCAAGGAAAATATCCACATCAAGATACATGACATATGCACGTTATACTCTTTTTCCTTCTTTTAGGTTTTGTCCCATTGGATTTTCCTAATAAGTTTTTAATGAGACAACATTAGTGCATCCAACGCTTTTCTAAGATTAATCTGATTATGTATTATTTTTCCTTCACTAGTTTTTTTCCCATAAGATTTTCTTAGCAAAGTTTTAACGATATATATTATCTTAGCATAGTAGTCATCTAAGGGGGAGTGCTGTAAATATATTTGTATACTCAAGCCTACTAATTTAATAGGTGTTAGTATTTGACTCTATAACCTTTAGCCAGATTTAATATTGTATTTGATGACCATTATGATTTTAAGCCTATAAAATGAGGTTTTCACCACATTGAGAAATACATAAGTTGAGAAGTTACTTCTCTATATTCTTTTTGTAGTTTCTCTAATTCTTTTACTTTCACGACACAATAGACAATATGCATATAAGAATAATTTCCTATTTGAGACTTGACACTCCGACAAATACAATTGCACATTGGAGTGAAATCAAATCCACTCTAAAAAATGGGTAATTATTTATGTACTAAATTCATGTACAAAAATTTATATCAAATAGAAGATCAATGATAAGGCCTACTAATTCAACGACTACAAGTAATTTAATGTAAATTTTGATGTATAAATTTGATTCACATAGCATTTTCTTCAAAAGTTTATGCCTGGTAGAGCAATTCTAACGGGGAGTGCTATTTGGGGTGGCAAACTATTAACCGCTAAAATGCCACCCCAAAATCAAAAAAATTAACTCCAAAGGGGGGTGGCATCTGAGGTGGCAAAATGACAACTATGGGCATGGGGTGACAAATTTGTAAACTTTGGAGAGAGAATGTGAGAGGTTGCAAAAGAGTGGTTGAGTCTACTGTTCATCTCAACGGCTATATTCTACCCAAAACTCCTATAAAAATACAGAGAAAGGGAAAAAGGAAGGAGATGTCTGCTTGACTGAAAATTGCCTTGCCTCATTGGTAACCGTTGAGCCTCACTGGTATATGTTGTCTCCTTGTCTTGTGGCTATCTCTTTACCTCACTAGTATCTGCTTTAATTTTGGGGGATTTGGTTTAGGGGAAGGGGAAGGGGAATGAAGGGTTTGCTTGAGAAAAGAATCGTGCCTACTATTTATTTGAGGGGAAACAACATATTCTATCCTAAAATTATTTTGTATTGTCAATTACACCATTAATTTTTTTGTATTATCATATTATACCATTTAATTATTTGTAATTTAAAATTTTTATTATAAAAATATATCCGTTAAATTGCGATCATTATAAAAACTATACCCGTTAAAATATAACTGTTAAATTTAATGATACTTTTTAATAAAAAATATTAAAATATTAAAATATTAAAATAACACCTACCATCAGAGTAAAATACTATTCAAAATTGTTAAAACACTATTTAAGATTACAAAAATAACATTTGACACCTTATTTTTGGCAACTTGCCTCGTAGTTGCTATTAGGAGCCAAATCTGGTTTACAAAATTTGAAATTGAGAGGGAACCGAACCTCCTAGAACCTCGTAATGTGTATCTTTTCCCGGGTAAGTAATGTAATGATCTCACGGTCTCAAAAGACCTTTCCTAGGTTCAGATCTCTAGTACGCCCAAACCCCCAATCCAACGGTCTGAACTGTATCTGAACACTAACCCACGATCTTTGTGGTTCCCTTCCCCTTTCCTTCTCGTCCGCTAAAAAAGTCGATTTTTCAAAACATTCCATCCATACTACACCCACAGCTCTCACCCACAGAGTTGTCAAGAAACCCCCAGTTTCCAGAAATCCCAACAAACACTATACAAAACGTTCCCTCTCTCTCTCTCTCTCTCTATCTCTTCAGTTTTTTTGACAGTTCAGGTAAAAGGGGTGAAGAGGAAGTAGGCCGCCATGGGAGATGTGGACAAAGGACAAGATGGTAAAATCGTGAGCACGGAAGATGATGATTCAAAACGACGTCGTGGGTCAACGGAGAAAGTGATGGAAACCCTAGATTTACCAAACAAGAGTCAAAACATCACTGTAAGAAAAGAAGGTGAAGAGACAGAAATTAATGAGAACGTATTGGGGAGTGAAGGATCGGATTTAAAAGGCGAAGAATTGGTTTCTGCGAAGAAAAGGCCTGGTAAAAGGGGTCGAAAGAAGAAGGAAGAGACTGTAATTCCAGGCGATGGTAATGGGTTTGTGGGTGGAAAAGGAAAAAATGAAGGTGTTTCGGTGAAAGATGGTGTTGCTGGTATGAGTGAGAAGGCCAAAGGGTTTTCTGTGAACAATAACGAAGAGATGAATTTGTCGAGTGATGAGAGAGAAACTGGTTTTATTGATATAAAAGAGGGAAAATATGAAGGCTTTTGGGGGTTGAGGGAATCTGCTCGAAAGGCTCGGAAGAAAATGGAGAACTTAGCCGAGGAATCTGAGGAAGATGATGAGGAAGGTTTTTCCAAGAAGAGAAAGCGTGGAAGGAAAAAGAAAAAGCAAGTGGTTGTAGAGGAGAATGGTGGTACTCTGGGAAGTGAGGAAGCGGAGGGAAAAGGAGGGGAATTTGGTCCAGCGAAGAAAAGGCCTGGAAGAAGGGGTCGGAAAAAGAAGGTAGGGATTAAAATCCCAGCTGATGGGAATGAGTTTCCAGATAACAAAGGAAAAGATGAAGGGGTTTCTCTGGAGGAAGAAAGTGGTGCCGCTAGTGAGAAGGAAAATGCAAGAGAGGAAAAAGGTGAAAGGGATTTGGTGGAGAGGAAATCAGGTCGAAAAGCTCAGAGAGTAAAGGAGAATTTAACCCAGGAAATTGAGGAAGAAGATGAGGAAGGTGAGCCCTTGAAGAAGCGCAGAAGGAAAAAGGAGGAAGGTGTCGAGGAGAATGGTGATTTTCTGATGGCTGAGGAAGGACCAGAAAGAAAGGGTTATGCCCTGAGGGCTTCAAAGCAAAAAGAAGAGTCAGTGTCAAAGCCTAGGGGTCGACTCAAGAAGGATGAGAATGTAATTTTTTTTTCTTTTTCTGTAAAGTGTTTTGGGAAGGGGGGGTGGGGGGTTCTCTTTGCTTTTGTTTTTCAGCTTTGTCTCCTTTTTCTTGTTTGATTTTATATTTGACGTTTTGTATTTTGAATTTGGACTCTATGAAGATGTAATTACCATTCTATTCATTTATTTATTTTTTTGAATTTGATTCTGACAGGGGAATGAAATTGAGTCAAATATGTGTCATCAATGCCAGAGGAACGACAAAGGACGTGTTGTTCGGTGCACGAAGTGTAAGAGGAAGCGATATTGTGTCCCCTGCATGACCCGATGGTATGAACATTTTGTTGAAGACTCTGTTGCTTCTTGTGTATGGTTTGTTACAATGTTTCTATTATGCTCTAGGATTTAAGTTGGACAAGACTTCTTTATCCAAATTGTCAACGCAATTTTGTTTCTTTTAGCTTTATCTAAAAGTTGCCCTTCAGCTATGGCATTCCCGATACATTGGTTTCCTGATAACACTTTGGGCATGTTTGTTTCGAGTATAAAATTTAGGTGGTATAAAGTTTTATATTCATTCCACTCCAATTCAATAGTATATTATACCTGGTGTTAAATTATAATCCCATCTTTCTCCTTGTTTGTTTATCACAAATATTATCTGTGTAATACCTAATTAAAAAAGTCAACAATTACGGCTAATCAATGTAAAAGACAATTTTAACTTTTAAAAAATCAAAAATTGCGGTTAGGTTTTTATATGGGAATTGTACTGGAGGGCATTTCGGTCTTTTTAATTTATAATACCTATACCAAGAATATAATACCACTTCCTAGGTGATATTCATTAAGACCTTCTACAAGGCATTATGACTACTATTTATAGAGGGTCGGTATTACGACCCGAAAAATAGTACTGACTATAAAATGCCAAACAAACAACGTATAAGATGGGTCCCATGTACTATTTTCCTAATACCACCTCTTTATACCACTCTAATACTCAAAACAAACGGCCCTTTCATTATCAGTGTTTCACTAATTTTTGTTATGGAACAATGATCATGTTGCTTTGGAGATGTGGGGGTATCGAACCTCATACATCTCGCATACAAAGTGAGCGCTCTACTTAATATTGCTTATGCTCCAACTAAAGTTTCATATTTTGTTTTATTTTATGGGACACACTACATCAATCTACCATTTGTGTATATCCTATCTGCTAAAACATTGTAGAAATCATTTATCGATGGATTAAAATGCATTCATTAATTGCATGTTTTGGCCATATTTGGTGTTTTTAAATTCTATTTTGTTCCTGGTTTTAATTTGTGTTCCTTTCGTGTCCTGCAATATAGGTACCCTAAGATGCCAGAGGAGGCTTTTGCTGAGGCTTGCCCTGTTTGTCAATATAACTGCAACTGCAAAAGCTGCTTGCGTTTGGATGTGCCACTTAAAGTCAGTTTCAGTTTCTTCATCTCCTTACATCTACTTCTTGGTTTGTATTTAGTCTGGACGTGTCATTTTGGATATAATATGCTCTTTTCCAATTGCTGTAGGAGCTGAAGAATTTAGAAGTGAATACCAGTGATGATGAAAAAGTTCAGTACTCCAAGTATATCTTGCAAGTGCTTCTCCCTTTTTTGAAACGATTCAATGAGGAACAAATGATGGAGAAGGATTTTGAGGCTAGGATCCAAGGTACTAATGTATATAATTTTTGTCAATCTCAGGTTAGGTGGGCTTCCCAATTCGGTTGGCATGTCACTCTTTTTCTGTATCCCAGCAAGTCTAGATATCCATGATAGAATATATTTAATGTATGATCAATGTGTTGTGTATAGTGTGGAAAATGGTTGAGCCTGGATTTAAAGTTTAGGTTCTATAAATAAGATGGTTATGGAATTAACAGATGTGATAACAGAGAGAATTTATTCTTGTAGTTTGCCTATATATGTTTGTTAATTGATGTGGATGGATTTTGCTTCCCATTTTACTGGTAGAAGTGGTATCTTTTTAAGATGGAAAGTGGTCTCCTGGATAGGTTGAAGGGAGGCGTCACCTTGCTATAAGTGTTTAATAGTTTGGCATTTGTTTGAACAGGGTTATCATTATCAGAGATTAAATTACAACAAACAAAGTGTGCGGTGAATGAGCGAATGTATTGGTAGGTTTCAAAAACCAATTTATGTTCCATTGCGCCTTTTTCATTAGTTTTACAAGGGACTTGATGTTGTCACATGTTTTTATGCAGTAACCACTGCAAAACCTCTATTGTTGACTTCCATAGAAGCTGTCCATGTTGTTCTTATGATCTCTGTCTTACATGTTGCCGGGAGTTGCGGGATGGCAACCTGCAGGGTGGCGAGGATGCAGTGATGATTGAATCTGAAGAACCGGGACTAGACTACTTGCATGGTGGGCCTCCTAATTGTTCAAAGAAGAGTGCAACTTTGGATGTATTTGCTGAAACTAACACAGTCAATCATGCTAAGCCAGCATCTGAATGGAGATCGAAGGAAAATGGTAGCATTCCTTGTCCCCGGGAGAATATGGGTGGCTGCGGTCAAGGAATTTTAGAATTGAAGTGTATATTCTCTGAAGATTGGGTTTCAGAATTGCTAGTAAAAGCAGGGCAAATTGTCAAAACATTCCAACTTGAAGATGGGCCTGAGAGTCTTGCTCAACAGTGCTCCTGTTTTGATTCCTCTGGAAAATTCGACATTAGCAAAGGAAAGTTACGGAAAGCAGCTTCTCGAGAAGATTCTGATGACAATTATTTGTACTGTCCTTCAGCTGGAGATATTCAAAATGGGGATATCAAGCATTTCCAGCAGCATTGGTTTAAAGGCGAGCCGGTGATTGTCACTAATGTGCTTGAAACTACTTCAGGATTGAGCTGGGAACCAATGGTTATGTGGCGTGCATTCCGTCAGATTTCAAACATTAACCATTCCCAACTTTTGGATGTCACTGCTATTAATTGCTTGGACTGGTGCGAGGTCAGTTTAGTTGTATATCTCTAAAGTAAACAAGGAAAATTCTAGCATGCTGTAGTCTAGTAGGAAATATGTTCTTAGGCTTAATTGAATATAAAACAAAAAACTCTTTGTAAAGGAAGGTATGTTGGTTGGCTTGGGTAAATTTTATGCTGCTGTATTGTTCTAAACAATTTGATACAGATGCATCATTCATTTGAGACGTGTTGCTGCCCTTATTCTCCTGATTGTAAAATCTAGTCTGAAACATCTTTGAAATCAAAAGTTAGGAATTGGCTGCTTGCTCGCTTGGTATAAGCCTTAATCAATATTGTGAATTCTCCAGTTGTTTGGAGAGTTTGTGCTTTTGCTTTTAGATGTGGCTGCTTTTTTGGTGTGGCTCTATCAAGCTTTTAGGGTGTGATTGGTCCCTGGGCAACGGCTTTCGAATGTTCATGATTGAATGATAATGAGACAAGCACACCAGCTTGAGATATTGAGTTGAAGTTTTTTTTTTCCTTCTCAGATAAGAAGCTTTATACTCTGAAGTGATCCAAAAAAGGAGGTCATTTTTCTCTGCTCATCCACAATGCCCAATGGCGTATCTTTTGTAAAGGCGATGAGGAGTTTATGGATCATTGTTCTTCCATTGCCTTGGTGCTTCAAGTTTGTAGAATGGATTATTGATGATTGAAGGAAGTTCATGGGTTACTCGGTATGGATTAGTTTCTTTTGTTGGGTTTTGGTAAAACTAGGACAGGTAATATTTTGTAATTGTGCAGTTTGGGCACTTCTGTGGGTGGTGTGGTCGGAAAGAAATGAGGGGATTGTTGATGGCGTGAAACATCCATTGGAAGAACTATGAGTTAAACTTTCATTCTTGGCATCTTTTTGGGCTTCAATTTCTCAGTAATTTGGAGGGATTTCATTAAATTTGATAAGGATGGTTGGGTGCAAGTGCATAGGGAGTGAAAAGAAGGATGGTCAATTTTGTTACATCGTATATCTGGGTATCTTTTATCTATTTATCAAACAAATAACGAGTTTCCACTCTTCATGTTTTAGAATTTCCAGTTTAGGACCTTCTAATGAGTGTCTAGTGCAATGCTCAACTTCTTTTTGTTTAACTCCCTTTTCTCCCTCTTTTCTTATTTATTTCCATGGTTGCTGTGTAAGTGTTTGAGTCCTTGTTATTCATTGGGAAACTGGTTGTGGCAGCTGGCTGCTTGCATTTGCTCTTGTTGTGTATCAGTAGAATCTGATATATTGTCGCTGTTATATCAGTTTATTATATATTATCAAATTTCTTCTCTCCTATGTTTTCTCTTTTATCCTTTTCCTGTGTTTACAGCTGTGTAGGTTTGCTTTTTATATATTTATAAGTTTTTGGATTTGTGAGTATGTTCTCATTAGCAATTTCTCCTGATGAATGCAGGTAGACATTAATGTCCACAATTTTTTCAAAGGGTATTTAGAGGGACGATTTGACCCTTTTGGGTGGCCTCAGGTTCTGAAGTTGAAGGACTGGCCCCCATCTAGTTTATTTGAGGAACGCTTACCCCGTCATGGTGCTGAGTTTATCAGTTGCTTGCCGTTCAAGGAATATACACATCCTCGCAGTGGCTTCCTGAATCTTGCTGTGAAACTACCCAAAAAGTCTTTAAAACCTGACCTGGGGCCGAAGACATATATCGCTTATGGAGTTGCTCAGGAGTTGGGACGTGCAGACTCTGTTACCAAGCTTCACTGTGATATGTCTGATGCGGTATGATTTAGTCCTTTGACTTTGTAATACTCTTTTATTTTGCTTATCTTTTGAGAATCAGCAGATCAGAGGACTGCTTGGAAGTTGGAACTGCTTTTTTGCCTTGCATGTTTGAAGAGTAGAGTGGGGTGTTCTCTATTATTATTTTTAGGTGAACAAGGTGAGGTTTGAATGCTGGTGGTTGGTGAACCTGTTCCCCAATCTGCCAGTTGCTATCTAAATAAAAACTTAATATAACTCCAAGCGTGAAAATTCATCCCTGCAATTTATGAAAGATATAATTACACTTAATATGTCAAGTAACATATAGAATTTGAAGTTTCTACAAAATTTAGACGTTTCTATGGATTCTTGAACTTAGTAATATTAGAAATTTGAAACTTCACATGGAGAAGGGTGACTGGAGTTGATCAACAGAAAATGCTAAACCCTTCGTCATTGGTCCTATTCCTATCTATGGTGGATTTGATTTATTGAATTGATAATGCCATGAAGTACACAAAAATGGCAAGTCTAACTTGAATAGGTAATGACCCAGATCAAAATGGTAGAATTGGAGAAACTTGGAGTCAATTTGGTTGACTTGGACAAAATCATAACTAGCTTGAACAATATTCAGTGGAACCCAAGAGCCAAAAAAAATTGGACAGAAAAGAAAAAGAAGAAAAGGTTGAGACCCACATGAAAATGAATCAGTTTGTGTAAAACCTACATGCACAACTAAATCGGAGCAATCATACATAAAAAGAAGAAATTGAAAGGACATGGCAAAATTGAGCCACTATATTCTCACTCTTCTTCTTTCTAGTGATCCTCTATGCAAGCCTCCAATCGTGTCAAAGTTGAGGGATGTTGTACTTTCCCTCTCATCTTCATGTTCTCTGTCTCTCTCTCTCTCCCCCTCTCTAGATGAAATTCCCATAATAGAAGAGTTGAAAGATTCTGTCATTAGATGATGGAAATGAGTTAAAAGATTCGAACGTGAGATGTTAGGGCTTTGTTCGTGGAGTTTAATTATTTTAGTTTTGGCCCAAGGATCAAAATATTATTTCGGTGTATTGTTTCGGTTACTTAGAAAACAGAAATGTTTCGACGGTTTTTGGAAACGTTTCGAAAATATAATGAAAAAAATAAAAAAATTTAAGAATTATTTTTTAAAAACATTGATAGAAATATATCAAAGTATCTTAAAATACGTTGAAATATTCTAAAACAATTGTGTAAATGTATTGAAATATTATAATACATTTAAAAATATTATAGAATATCTCGAAATATCAAAATTTTGATTCCATCACTGTTTTGTTTCGATCTCCTTGGAAATGGAAATGTTTTGATCGTTTCAGAACGATATTTTGATCCTTGTTTTGGCCATATTTGTTTTATATCTTTTGGGTATTTTACTAATTCATTTATGGTAATATATACAAAATAGTTTTTGGTAAGACTTGTATGATTCGTAATAATATGCCACATAATTAAACTTTATTTATTTATAAAAAATTAAACTTTATATACGTATTAAAAAGTATCACATGTTTTTTTGTTTTTTAATTTGTGATAGCACCTTTTATTTTTATATTTCCAATATGTTTAATATGCGCGGTAATGTATTCTGGATGAAGTGGCCCCTCAAGTATCTAAACAAACCTTTGGTGGTTTTAATTATTACAAGTTCTCTTAATATCATTCTTCATGTGGGACTTGGGCTCGCACGCGGTTTCAACAAACAAACAAATAACCATGCGCACTGGGATTCAATGTGACATATAAGCTCTTTTAACACCCTCCTTCAAGTGGGACTCTGGCTCGCACATGGTGTTAACAAACAAACTTGCATACTGGGATTCAAATGGGTAAGAGGCTTTACCCATTGTTAGAACATTCAACTCAAAAATCAATTGGCTATGGGTGGAATGATCCCTCAAGTGTATGAATGAACTTTGGTGGTCCATATTATTGGATACAAGATCTCTTAATACCCTTTCTCACATGGGACTTGGCTTGCACTTGGGGCCAACAAATAAACAAATAACTATGTATATTGGGAAATTCAAATGGGTAAGAGATTTGACTTATTGACCACTCAAGGCTTCGCTTTGATACCATGTTAGAGTATCAAATCAAAAATCAATTGACAATGGATGGAGTGAGCCCTTAAGTATATAAATTAACCTTGGTGGTCCTAATCATTTGATGTGAGATACAAACTCTCTTAGGTTTACTTTTTTAAGATTTTTTTAATTTTTTTGTCCTAGATTTTTTTGGTCAACTAGTATTTTTTGTGCATATCGGTTGATATTGTTTCGTGCTGTTGCGACTGATATGTTTGAATGTCTTCTTTTGACTCAATTACAAATACTGTGACCTTGAATCATGCCACATATACTCATTTTCCAAGGAATTTTTTCCTAGAATAAGATTTTTTGTGTTATATTTGACGCAAAAAGTTAGCTTTTGTGTTGGATAACCGGCTTCTTTATTTCTTAGTCGTTGGCAATAAAACCAACCTTTTGCATGAAGCATAAACAAGTATACTATAGAGGAGATTNTGATTCCATCACTGTTTTGTTTCGATCTCCTTGGAAATGGAAATGTTTTGATCGTTTCAGAACGATATTTTGATCCTTGTTTTGGCCATATTTGTTTTATATCTTTTGGGTATTTTACTAATTCATTTATGGTAATATATACAAAATAGTTTTTGGTAAGACTTGTATGATTCGTAATAATATGCCACATAATTAAACTTTATTTATTTATAAAAAATTAAACTTTATATACGTACTAAAAAGTATCACATGTTTTTTTGTTTTTTAATTTGTGATAGCACCTTTTATTTTTATATTTCCAATATGTTTAATATGCGCGGTAATGTATTCTGGATGAAGTGGCCCCTCAAGTATCTAAACAAACCTTTGGTGGTTTTAATTATTACAAGTTCTCTTAATATCATTCTTCATGTGGGACTTGGGCTCGCACGCGGTTTCAACAAACAAACAAATAACCATGCGCACTGGGATTCAATGTGACATATAAGCTCTTTTAACACCCTCCTTCAAGTGGGACTCTGGCTCGCACATGGTGTTAACAAACAAACTTGCATACTGGGATTCAAATGGGTAAGAGGCTTTACCCATTGTTAGAACATTCAACTCAAAAATCAATTGGCTATGGGTGGAATGATCCCTCAAGTGTATGAATGAACTTTGGTGGTCCATATTATTGGATACAAGATCTCTTAATACCCTTTCTCACATGGGACTTGGCTTGCACTTGGGGCCAACAAATAAACAAATAACTATGTATATTGGGAAATTCAAATGGGTAAGAGATTTGACTTATTGACCACTCAAGGCTTCGCTTTGATACCATGTTAGAGTATCAAATCAAAAATCAATTGACAATGGATGGAGTGAGCCCTTAAGTATATAAATTAACCTTGGTGGTCCTAATCATTTGATGTGAGATACAAACTCTCTTAGGTTTACTTTTTTAAGATTTTTTTAATTTTTTTGTCCTAGATTTTTTTGGTCAACTAGTATTTTTTGTGCATATCGGTTGATATTGTTTCGTGCTGTTGCGACTGATATGTTTGAATGTCTTCTTTTGACTCAATTACAAATACTGTGACCTTGAATCATGCCACATATACTCATTTTCCAAGGAATTTTTTCCTAGAATAAGATTTTTTGTGTTATATTTGACGCAAAAAGTTAGCTTTTGTGTTGGATAACCGGCTTCTTTATTTCTTAGTCGTTGGCAATAAAACCAACCTTTTGCATGAAGCATAAACAAGTATACTATAGAGGAGATTGTGCAGTTGTGCCTATTGCTCAAGAAAATTGTTTTTAACTTATACGTAGAAATAAATATAAGATTTATGAAATGTTGTTGGTGGTGTAATGCATTAAATAGGCTTGATCCCTACTGTGAAGTTAGCTCTTCAAATCTAAGTTAGGTTAAACGGATAATGTAAATCACGGCTGAGCACATCATAGATTAGGTAGGTCATAATCAAAACCTTGGTTTGTCATAATTTTGTTTTGATTGATTTTGCTGTAATAATAAGACATATTATGCTTCAAATGAACATAATGGAATCTTTTGAATTCAATTGGCGAAGAATTTTTGTAATTATTTCTTTTCTTGTTGAGAAAGAATGGTGGAAACTTGAATTTGATGGGGCAAATGCTCGAGAATCTTATTGACAATGCTCAAAGAAGGAAAAGAATGGAGTAAGATCTTTACCAATATATTTTCCTTTATTTCCCTCTTTGGTAGATCATCTACCGTGAATTAAAAAAGACCCATTGTATGTAATTCATGGTGAGTGATTTACCATGGAAGAAAATGGATGAAAAAATATTGAAGGCGATTTAGATTTGAAACAAATATAGATGTCTACATTGCCATGTATTCAAGTCATAAATGATAATTATTATTACATAGTTATCATATCAAGAATCGTATTGGGAATTAAAATCTTAGATTTGAGGATCAGGAATTGTAAGATTCGACACAAAGTTCGAACAATGATAAAAAATGACATGTACATAAAATAAATAAGATATTTAAATCAATTGACGGTATTGACTTGATTACGTTGTTTAAATAAAAAGATGCTAGCCTCTATAAAACTTTATAAAACTATACTTGAGTTTGTATGTCGTTGCTTATTTCTTAATGAATAATAAATTGTTCCCTCAAAATGACTACTATAGAATATGTATGATTTTTAACGAACAAATAGTTATTGTCTTCTTACCAACAAAATTAAACTAAAATAATAAAAGGCCATACTGATTCAAACATTCTCAGATTTGGTTAAAAAATAATTTTTTGCAGAAAAACAAAAATACAAAAAACAAAGCTTGTGTTGAGGAAGAAGAATAAGTAGGGTATATTAGGGTTTGATAGTTGTATTTGAAGAAGAAGAAGCATACTTAGTGAGAAGATGTTGTCTCTGTGTAATGTTCATAGACTTCTGAGTGGCAAATATGCAAATTGGGGATACAAAGTGAAATGTGAGTTTTATATTTTGGGGGTCGACCTCTTCTAGCAAAATGATGTTGTTTTACTAGAAATAGGGTATAAAAATAAAATAAAAGGAATACTGCAATTCCTTCGATTCAAATCGATTCGTACAATTTTTGCGATTCTTGGTCAAAAATAATTTTATGGTAAGATACAAATCGAATAAGGACTAAATTGAATTGAATCGCTAATTGTATAATCTTGGTAACAATGATTACAAATAAGTATATATTTACTGAAATTGTCTCTAATTGATCATTTTCCATGAGAAACTTTTGTTTTTTCCTTTCACACTTGAAAAGGCTAGGCCTTGACAATTCTCATTACTATGACATGAAAGATATGGAAATTCATTTCATCATTTGTTGCCATGTTTCAATTTCCTTTTCATGTACTTATATTTTCTTAACTACTTGTTTCAGGTGAATGTGTTAACACATACTCAAGCAGTGACGCTTTCTCCTAAAGAGCTTTTAGCCATTGAGGAATTAAAACAAAGGCACATTGCCCAGGATCAAAGAGAACTTTTTAATAATTGTCAGATTGTGAACGTAATGACCAAGAAGCAGCAACAAGGTGAACATGGTGTATGTGGAGACTTTTTGCCAACTTCGGAATCGGAGGAGAGTCTGTGTTTGAACAAAGATGCCAAAGACCTGCAAAGAGTTGAACAGACAGATGGGAACTCACTAAATGTTGGAATTAAGGTTGCGGAAGTGTCACATTGTATGGATATTGAAGAAAAAGGGAGTGAGCTTGGCGGAAGTGGAGAAAAAGAACAACATGATCCTGATTTATCAGCAGAAGAGAAAATTAGAAAGGACCAAAGAAAAGAAAATGCAGATAAAAAAAAAAATGTGCGAAGAAAGAAGAGGGGGAAAATGCATGCAGCTGTACGAAGTAAGCATAAGAAACCGATAGGTCAAGATGCTAGCTATGGAAAATCTGGTGTCCCAGAGGAAGGCTTATGGGAGGATAATGATGTGGTAGCATTAAAAGGTGAAATAAATATGGTTGAATCTTCCGAGATAGGTGAAGTGGAAAAAATGGATCAAGATAATGGACAGGAGAGTGGTGGCACAGATTGTGGTGCTGTGTGGGACATTTTCCGGAGGCAAGATGTTCCTAAATTGGAGGAATATTTGAGAGAGCACTTTAAGGAATTTAGGCATATTTATGGTTATCCATTGCAGCAGGTAGTAACTAAGTTAGCAAGATGTCTAGGAAAATTCTGCTATCTTTGTGTTTAATCTTAATGTTAAAGTTGATTAGTGGTGGCACCAGAAGTCACCGTTTCTTTCTTTTCTATTTTTTTTTTTTTTTGGTCTTTCACCTTTGGGAGAAATTGTTTTTCTTTTAAACTTGTTCCACAATGGTTTCTTTCCTATGGAGTACAAAAAGATTGATACTATTTTCTAATTTTTGTAAGACAAATTCTTGAATCGTTCTCTTGTGGTGTCTGAGTGCAAGGCTGCATTGCTAATATTAGAGATACCTGTGGTTTTGACTAGACAATGTGGGTAAAGGTGAAAGGAGATTTAGCCAAGAACTTGGTATTTAGGATGCATATATTTGTGTTTGATTCCATGTTTGCATGCCTGTTGTTTTGCTGTTCTTTTCTATGTTATGATGTTTCATATGAATAAACCCTGTACCCTTTTTGTACGTTTCTAATTTACTGTGTCTCTATTCTCTCAATATCACAGGTTTTTCATCCTATTCATGATCAAACTTTCTACTTGACTATGGAACATAAAAAGAGGCTCAAGGGGGAATATGGTTAGTCCTACATATTTGACAGCTGGACTAAATGCTATTTTTTAATAATGTTTTTCTGTTTCTGTATATGTAGGAATTGAACCATGGACTTTTGTTCAAGAAGCAGGGGATGCAGTATTCATACCTGCTGGCTGTCCTCACCAAGTTAGAAACTTAAAGGTAAAATGCTTTGTTTTGTGGGCTCTTCACATTTTTCTCTAGAGAAGCTAGATTTGAATTTTTTATGTGTATATGCTTGCAAATGTTTGGTGGGTCATACTATTAATGAAGTTGTCAGCGTATTGCTTAAAATTACAATTGAGATACATAAGTAACAAGGTGAGTTTTACATTTTAGGGATACTTCTATGTTTGGAAAGAAACAATAGAATTTTTAATGAAAAAGAAGAATTTGTGGACTTTCTTTGGGGTAGAGTTACAGGTTTGCTTCACTTTGTGCATCGATTGCAAATGAATTTTGAGGATGTACCATTTTGTTCCCTTAAGTCTTTTGATTGGATTGCTGGATGTAGCTAGACGAAAACCTGCTTTAGCTTTGTAGTCATGTAACTTCTTCGATGTATTTGTCTTTTATTCTCTTTGGTGGATGGATTTCTTGTCCACTTCTTTGTACTCTTTGTTCCTTTATCATTAATTAATGAAAGGTTGTTTCCTAATCAAAAGAAATTTCTATGTCATAACCTTCTAGTCAATGTTGTTTAGTAGGGTGATGAGCTGTGTTTTGAGGTTAATTCCATGTTGTATCCCTGAGGTAATGGGGCACAATGCAGTGCATAAAGTCCAACCTGACAAAGTTCATAGGATGATGTTTGTGGCCTAAGTTCTCGGATGGCCTTGCTGGTCTTATCAAAATAAGATGGCCTTGTCGGGCCTCATTTAGGAATATTTCAGCCGTGTATATTTGCCCCGGAGTCTTCTTCCTTTTTTTGACGAGATACTTGTTTTAAAATCATATTGTTGGGTTTGATCTATTCTAATGTTGATAGCTAGTAAAGGGAAACAAGTAAAGCTACTTGAGTGAGTACTCTAGCATATACTCTCCACACTACTACAGCAATGTATTCATGAACGTGGGGTGTTTTTAGTACTTTTGAGTCTTTTTGTATTTGTAATATTTATTATAAAGATTCCATTATTTCAATTGTTAGTGTTATTTGTCTTCCACGATTTCCATTCTATAGTGATTGTATTCCTCCTGTGCTGAGGGTGATGAATAATCACCAAAGAACTGCAGCACTGAATTTCTTGCATGGGGGTTAGTTGTTGGGCAAACATGATTTTGGTTGTGGGAATCTAAAATGGATAATATCATAGGCCTCATATCTACTAGTTAATTGAGATGCCAGTGTGTTGCTCGCAGGTTCTTAAGTTTCACACGTGTGAGGTGCTGTCTCACGAGTCGCAAAACAATGAAATGTGTATGTGATTTCGTTAGTTCTCTTCCCAAAATAAAGGGTCATACATGAAGTTAGAAACCTTGAGAACTTTGTGGCACAATTTTATTGAAATGTGTAATAAAACTGGATGTCATAAGATTTCAAATTTTGTTGGACCCATTAAACCTAACATGGACATTTGGAATACATCAGTATGCCCAGAACATAAATACCTGTCAAAGCATCTTGAGCATATTTTGATCTTCTTCAGTTTGCTTTCAGAATCTCTGTACAAATTCTTCTTATTGCTATCTTTTAGCTTCATCTGTGGTTATGATTTTAGTTTATCCGTTGCAGTTGCTGTTGCCGTTGCCGTTAGTTTAGTTGTCTTAGTCTTTGTTGTTTTATGTAGATGAACAGCTGAAGGCATAATTCAACAAGAATTGATGATAAGCATATCTAGGACAACATAGGAAACTAAGATTGGTGTTGCCTATGGTTGATTTTATGGTGGTTTTATGTCTTGAAAACTTGTTAGTTTATAGGGCGTTAGTATGTGGAGGACGTGTCATGTTGTTTGCATAAATGATTAAAATACTCTTGTTGCTAAAGGTGTTGATGGTTTATAAAATTCCAGACAGCAAATTTGAAGGGTGTGTTTAGTTTAGGCATTAGATAGTATCGGATTAGACAAATCTGTCCAATCCCTTACCCGTCCATTGGGCATTGGATTAATTATAATGGTAATGCTTCCTCATCCCATTTTTGGTTCAGGGGTTAAGAAGTGGTAGACCTCATATTTATCCCATGGAGTATTGAATGATGGTATAAACATTAAATTATTAAAAAATTCTCGAGACATATATCTTTGAGATTCTTGTGGGTAAAAATGTCTTTTGCCAAAATATATCCCAACTGGACTATTGAAATCCACCAAATACGTGGGATTATTTAAGAGGCTATTAGTGGGTTTAAAAACATTATTCATCCGGGCCAGGTGTATTTTTAGGTGATAACACCGGGCCAAAGTAGTATCCAGACAAGGGAGTAAATGAAATAAGGTGGGCCTACATTGTTTTATCTAAGATTCTCTCCTAATGCCTAAATGAAACACACCCTTATAGGGTTCCAAAGTCCAAGTCAGGAGCCAAAATTCAGGAGAGGAGTAATTATTTGACTAGGCTTTGATTGAGGAATGTAAAAGATGTGTTCAGTTTGTTTTTTTTAGGTGGTGAGAGTAGTCGGTGGTACTTCTAGTAATTTGTGGAGTTTTTGAAATGATACATTTGACTCTGAGGAAGAGAACCTATTAAAAATCTATAATTCTCCTTGCTTCATTCATGTTCAACTGCAACCAATTAGCTTTGGGTGGCCAGCACAGCAGTAACTTGATTCATTTGGATTGGAATTTTGGATGCATAATTGCTTTGATTAGGTGGAATTCATCAAGTTGTCCTTTTGTTTAATTGCTTAATTGTGTAGTTTGCTTCGTTGTTTAATTACTTAATTGCTCAATTGGAATGCTCATATTTTTTTTAATGACTAACTGATTAATTGCTCAATTTAAATTTCTAGTGTGGTCCGGGTGTCATGATTGGTACCACGGCTGATGTGTGGTGGGTAACAATCTCCTGCAAAAATACATATACTAGTTAGTACTTTGTCCATGCTTAACAATAGAATTTCTTAAGAATGCTCAGAAAAAAAGTGTCAACAATATTCTTCTTGTCTCAGTGAAGTCCTTGCACCAAGGGCCGAGAAGATCTTGGTGCGCTTATCTTACTTTAGCCTTCTTATACATAATTTAATGATGGTGAACCCAGCCATTGGGTCTTGGCTATTTGGTTCGCTGTGTGTTGTGCCAAAACAATGCTTGTTGATGATTCCTTAGGGAGCCCAACAGATGTGTGTGATTTTTTTGTGAAACTCATCCCCTTGTGGCTAATTGCAATTTTGAAACTGGCATGGGTGGCTGAGGTTGACTATTTTCTTGGGATACTCTTTAAAAGGTGTATGTATGGTCCTTTTATAACTAGTTCCCTTGTAAAAAAATTGATCCTATTATGTATTTTGAATGCTGAGGTTTAAAAAATTAACTCCGCAGAAACACGTTAAACACTTTACCAATAGGATGAATGTCAATATGGTTTTTCTACTTGGATGCATGCTCTAATCTTGTTACAAGAATTTCTTTTTTGATTTACTGGCCCAGGAATCATTTTTTATTGTGCATCTCCTTTTACAGTCATGCATAAAGGTTGCGCTTGACTTTGTGTCACCTGAAAATGTTCATGAGTGCATCCGTTTGACAGAGGAATTTCGTGTTCTTCCCCAGAATCATAAGGCTAAGGAGGACAAGTTGGAGGTATACCATCTGACTTCTTTCTGTAATGTCCTGTTTCTCCTGTATGATTTAATTGTTCTTTGGTTTGTTTTTGCATTCCTTTTTTCGTGGTTTCCACTAAATGATATGCACACACAAACGTAATTGTAGGGTTCGCCACCTCCCAAAAAAAAAAAAAGAGAAGAAATACACTACCACCACACACCCAAAAGCAACCCAAATACAAACCACCAATCAGCAAACCAACCAAGAAAATAAAGGATAAGGGGGAAGAAAACATCACTTACTCAAGATCCAAAACATGTTTTTATGTACTGGTTAGTACCACAGTCCCCTAATTCTTTTGATGTCAATGCTCCGTTATGAGTGCCTTGCTACCTTCGCTTTACTTCCTCTGTTCTCAGCCTGACTAGTTGGATGTTGTAGTGCTTGGCACTATTCTTTTGTTTCTTGGCTTTGGGATGTATTTCTTGTCCACATTTGTCCTCCTTTTTGTATTTCTTCACTTTATTCATTAATAAAATTGTTGTTTCCTATTCAAAAAAAAGTCCTTTTGTGACCAAATATTTTATGCTAATGATGCATTACTTTCAGGTAAACAGGTATGTTATATTAAAATTTGTTGCAATTTTCCATCAAGTTCAGGTGGCTGTTCATTATATTTGGTTCAGTTCTAATTCTGGTAGCTTTAAACATAGTGTGATAGCATATTCCTTTGTATGACATTGCTGCCTTTTTGGTGCACGGTATCT